GAACAACCTTCTGGATCCGCACCAGTCTGGTTTCAAGGCAGGTCACTCAACAGAAACTGCTCTCCTTGCTGTCTCTGAGGAACTGCACACTGCTAAAGGAACTGCACTACCTCGGCAGCTCATCCAGAATGCAGCGGCTCGTCTGGTCTTCAACCTTCCAAAATTCTCCCACACCACGCCGCTCCTCCGCTCAATTCACTGGCTTCCAGTAACTGCTAGAATCCACTTCAACACACTGGTACTTGCGTACCATGCTGCGAATGGATCTGGCCCTGCCTACATCCAGGACATGGTTAAACCGTACACCCCAGCACGTGCACTCCGCTCTGCATCAGCCAAACAGCTCGCTGCACCCGTACTGCGAGGGGGACCCAAGTTCCCATCAGCAAAAACTCGCGGGTTTGCTATCCTGGCTCCAAAATGGTGGAATGAGCTCCCCATTGAAATCAGGACAGCAGATAGCTTGCACATCTTCCGGCGCAGACTGAAAACTCATCTCTTTCGACTCCACTTTGAGCGATAGAATTACTAACAAAGCACTTATACTAATAAAGGGCTTGCTTATCTAAAGCCAGTTGAGTAGCACATGAAATGTTTGGCTCTACGAAACCTGATGTACTTATATGATTCTGTTTTCTTCAAGGTTGTATCTTCCTGGTCGAATGCACTTATTGTAAGTTGCTTTTGATAAAAGCGTCAGCTAAATGCAATGTAATGTAATGTAATGTAATGAAAGTGAATATGCACTTTTGGCTGTTTTTGAATTGACCATTTAATTGATGACATCAGTTTCCCCAGTGCCAGAGATAATCATCACAGTCAGCAGAGCCCTGAGAGTTGAGGGACCTCTCCATCGCCGTGTGGTCTTCTATACAATAATTTACAGAGATTACAGTAAAATAATGTGTTTTTATATCTGAAAGGTCTAAGGTGAAATACAAGGGATTGGGATAGTCATGGCTCCTGATGTGAATCAACAATAGTTCAATCAGGAGAGACGGTTTTGATGTAAGAATACATATTTATTGCCAGGGATACACATATGAATGTAATGTAATGTGATTTTGGCGATTAGGCCCGTTGTGCAGGAGTATCATTCGGGAGGGGAGAACCGATCCGATGAAACCCCCCGGGGTCTAGACATTGGTGGTGGTGAATGGATAGTTGGGTCGGTCTGAAGAGGAGTGGCTTAGCTTGACCCTGGATTCAGAGGGACAGGAGGTGAAAAGGGGTGGAGGAGGGTTGCGTTGAGTCACCTGAAATGACAGCTGTCAGAGGGGGGAGAGAAGATTTAAAAGGTTTAGCGGAGCGCTATAGGCTTGTCTGAATAGAGCAACGTGATTGGTTAAACTGGGGAGTGACGCCGCCGATCACTTATTGAGAGGAGAGAGTAGTAACAGAAATAGAAAATGAAGAGTAAAGACGGTCTTCGTGGTTGAACTATACTGATACTTTTTTTTTTAATTAATCATTTTCTCAGAACACTAAACACAATTCACAAAACCACACACCCAAAGTGAAAAACACCTAATTTCTGCTAAATGAAGAACTGCACTCAAAAAACTACATAAACTCTTACCAAATGCAAACCTTTGCACCAAATAACACACTTCATTCATAATACTAGATTGTTTGACCACCCAACTGCTGAGCATAATCTAAAGCACTTTCATGTTTTATGGGCTATGCTCTAGAGGTTTCTGCAGAGAAAGATTGCTTGCTTATAGAGAAATACAGTAAATGAAGAAATACAAATGAGTTGTTGAAAAAAATCATATTTTAAAAATAACATTGTGCAACATGCATCTCAGCAAATAGTTACTATGCTTCGGGTCTCTCTAAGTGTGATGCATTGTTTGCCAAAACCAAGTTTGTAACTACTGCTTCCTGTGCCTCATCCTTGGCCTTCCACCTACACCTCTTTGTTTCTCAGTCCTTCAGATAAACAACAAAGATCTAGTGGTTGGTCAGTGTCTGTGTTGCATAAAAGTAAGTTTACCACAGTACATTGTGCTGGATTTTTTTACAGTTATAGTATGCAACATGCCAACAATTCAACTACAGTAATGAAGAAAATACGTTTCACAAAACACGCACTGATATATCATGAATTATGCAGAGCTAAAAACTGGTAACTAACCTGTTTTCAAGTCTAAGTGTCCGGATTACAGAGGCAACAGTAAATCTGCTTAGATTAGGCTGAACCCTCTGTCCAGCCTCTCTCATCGTCAAACCATGGTTGATAACGTGTGCAATGATTTGCAAAAAGTGCCATGTTGATTTGCAAATTGTGTGAAAACCTGGAAACGTGTTTAGAGTTTTGGAGATTTGAGCCAATGTTTTGCTCTTTGAGTGTCAGTTAAAATAATTGTGCTTTATGTATAATGTTAGTGTGTTAGCAATCGAGAACAACTATATTAGAAGCATTAACATTTCTGAGAGTGTTTTTTTGGCTTCATTCGAGCACTTTGTCAAGACCAATGCAACAAATTATGTTTATTGGTGTTACATACTGTATAAGATACCTGGAATTCCAAAAACGATATAAGGCCTACATTTTTTAAATATTACAAATGAAATATAATTTATTCACTTCCAATGGTCTTTTCCTTTGTATTTTAATGAAAGATTCCTCCTTTGAGAACTGGAGAACACTCTGCATTTTAACTTCTTTTTTCTGTTGGGTACAATATTTCTACTAAGATATAAGAAGCTTTCTGGCTTTGTTATTGTTTTTTGTTCTGAGAGTTCTCAGGCTGTCTGACTGAACTAAATATATGTTGTGTTGAAAGATTCAGGAGTCCATAGCTAGACTGGAGCCTTGGAAAATTCCAGGAATTGTAGGTATTTATTGTTTCAGTGCCCCTGGTGAGCTGATGTCAGGGGGCCTAGGATTTCTAGCTGTGCCCCTGAAGGTCAAAGGTGACTGAAGGTTTAAAGGTGACTTGAACTACGGAAACTTCTCATTACTGGTATTGCTACACAAATACATGAAAGTTTACAAACGGCTTGCTGATTAAAACCAATGAGTTGGTTCTCAGTTAAATCGCCAAACTCTTCACAACTTCTAAACATTCTTTCCCATTTCAGCCATTATCTCTGACATAGTGTTACAAACAGGGAGGAGGTACAGTTTGCTGTTTTTAACTGAACTAGCGTTGTTTTTTGTTATTGTTTTAGGTTTTGTTGGATTCTTTGGCATGACTTTACATGGAATATCAAAGGTGAATTTGTAACTGTAACACATTGCTGAACTGTCTACAGTGCATATCCTTTTTTCTGTGTACTGCAGTATTAACTTTTCCCAGTAAACCTTCACCTACTGTTGAAAAATCTGAATATAAAATGCAAATTGTGAAACACAATAGCATTCGGCTACACAAAACGGACAGAACAAAAAACAATACTTGGGTGATGTGTGAATTTGTGTGAAGATTTCTAGAGTTGACTAACATGGTGAAAAAACATAAAAAAATGTAAAGCACTACAACTGACGCAATTACAAACTTTCATTTTGGTGGCATTGGCCAATTTACTTACACAATTACTAAGTGTTTTTTGTGAGTGAGTTACTATTGTTTGCACACATGCAGTAGTGTTATGATATCCCATGAAACAGCTCTGCCAAGGGATATTACATTATACAAATATTTGGCAATTATTTAACATTCAATCAATTAATTCAATTGCAAAACCATATTAAATCAATGGTATACAAATCGGTGCCAAGGTCTAAAACAGACGAATAACGTTATTTGTGTTGTGTCAATGTTATCCCACTTGAAAGAGGTAAAAACATGTCACACACTCTGTCCCCATTTACTTTTCTTATTTATTTAAATTACGTTTTGGTACTCAGGTATTCCCATGCATTATACATTAAATTCCAATCGTAACATTTGACCTTGTGTTTGTTTGTCCCAATGTTGATGTTAATTTTTCTTAATATATATTTTCTTTAGCTTTTTGCCTATGTGGGGTTCTTATCTATGTATATAAAGTGAATTATTGGCAACAAAAAACTCTAAACAATAAGCAACACTTAAAACCCTCCAAGGTATATTAATTATGCATGTGTCACTTTGTTCTAGTTTTTGAAACTAAAACTGTTTGAACAAACATAACACATATTGTTCTAATTTTCTACTTCTGTATAGTTATGTTTTTTCTTCTTGCTGAAGGATGCAATAGTATCTTTGATCATAGGTGGGTATGTGTGCTTAAGTAAAATGTTGAGGTATGTCTACTTTACTTGAGTATTTCCATTTAATGCTACTTTATACTTCTACTCCACTACATTTAATAAACAGCTTTAGCTACTTTTAACAAAATGCATCTCTAAAATGTAACTAGTGGACTTACTAAATTACCAAAAAGTCTAATTATTTCAATACTTTACAAAAGGTCAACCAGAACTTTGTCACATATATAAATATAATTATATATAGGCCTACACACATTAAGGCAATTATTTTCTGCACAATGATTACTTTAGGCCTACTTACTTTTTAAGTACATTTTGCTTCTAATACTTTTGTATTAAGTATTTTGACAATAATGTATTATTAGTACTTTAACTCAAGTAAAGCATCTGAATATTTCTTCCACCACTGTCTTGTCTTTGATGCATCGTATAATAATGTTGTTCGTAACATTAAGCAGTAGTGCTACTCGTCCCCTCCACTAGGAGCCGCTGGCAGAGTCTGAGCCGCTGAGAGCGGACACAGAGCTGGTTATTCATTGTAGCGATCCGGGATGCTCCGCCGCTGCTGGAAATGCCTCATACGTTAAAGGAGCCTGGCAGTTACCTTTGTACGAGGAGAAAAAGCTTTGGGGATGAAAGTTTCTGAAGACTAAAAAGTTATTGGATATGCGTTGCGAGGAACGGGAGTAGCCGATAACTTGCTTTGAACGGCTTGAACGGGGATGTTGCTCGGCTTTTCACAAGTTTACACAGCTAACGCTACGCCGACGTTTGCTAACGTTAGCGCAAGAGCGTTAACCTAGCAGCCTTAGCCTAGCCTGCTAAGTAAATATTAAGACTGCCTTTCGGAGTTTCCCGCATCCAAGTTATCACACCAAGAACTGTGTCTATTGTGTACATTTTACACCATCGTTTATTTAATAGCAAGTCATAATAGCAAGGTTCGCCCCTACAAGATGGGTTGCTTCTGTTACGTTACACACAAAGCTAACCGGCTATAGTTAGCCTGTATGCTAGCTGACATTAGCTAACACCGCCGAGCGAGCCAGCAACTTCGGCAGGAGAGTTTCGGCGAGCTAACCACGACAGTATTGTCGGCCAGAGTCAACCTCTGCTGCTAAACGCAGCCATCCTGTAGTCATGTTTGAAATGGAGACCCATATATCGTGCCTTTTCCCGGAGATCCTGGCCATTATTTTCAGTTATCTGGACGTTAAAGACAAAGGGAGAGTAGCCCAAGTGTGCGCGGCCTGGAGGGACGCGTCCTACCACAAGTCGGTGTGGAGGGGGGTGGAAGCCAAGCTTCATCTGCGGAGAGCTAACCCGTCTCTGTTCCCCAGCCTGCAGACCAGGGGGATCAAAAAAGTTCAAATTCTCAGCTTAAGGCGAAGTCTGAGCTACGTGATTCAAGGGATGCCGCACATTGAAAGCCTTAACCTGTGTGGGTGTTTTAACCTCACAGACAACGGACTCGGACATGCCTTTGTGCAGGACATCCCATCCCTGCGGGTGCTGAATCTCAGCCTTTGTAAACAGATCACTGACTCCAGCCTGGGTAGGATTGCCCAGTACCTCAAAAATCTGGAGGTGCTTGAACTCGGGGGATGCAGTAATATCACAAACACCGGCCTGTTGCTCATTGCCTGGGGCTTGCACAGACTCAAGAGCCTTAACCTGCGCAGCTGCAGGCATGTGTCGGATGTGGGCATCGGTCACCTGTCCGGCATGACCCGCAGCGCGGCAGAGGGCTGCCTGTCCCTGGAGAAGCTAACCTTGCAGGACTGCCAGAAGCTGACTGACCTTTCTCTCAAACATGTCTCAAAGGGTCTGAACAAACTCAAAGTGCTCAACCTCAGCTTCTGCGGAGGGATATCAGACGCAGGGATGATCCACCTGTCACACATGACACACCTGTGTAGCCTGAACCTGCGGTCGTGTGATAATATCAGTGACACGGGGATAATGCATCTGGCCATGGGCTCCCTCCGGCTCTCTGGACTTGATGTCTCCTTTTGTGACAAGATTGGAGACCAGAGCATGGCTTACATCGCCCAGGGCTTGTATCAGCTCAAGTCCCTCTCCCTGTGCTCCTGCCACATCAGTGATGATGGCATTAACAGGATGGTACGCCAGATGCATGAGCTCAAGACTCTCAACATTGGACAGTGTGTGAGGATCACAGACAAAGGGTTGGAGTTGATAGCTGACCACCTCACCCAGCTGACTGGGATTGATCTGTACGGGTGTACAAAGATTACTAAGAGGGGTCTGGAGAGGATAACACAACTCCCGTGCCTTAAAGTGTTAAACCTGGGACTGTGGCAGATGACTGAGAGTGAGAGAGTGAGGTGAAATCTCTCTCATTCAGTATACATGTTTCATTGTGTATAGTGCTCAGTTATGTACTGCGAGGGACTCCTTTCTTAATTGTTAACTTCAATACTGTGAGTAAAAACAAGGAGAGGGGCTCTGCATTGATCACTGGAATATTGTTCACATTCTTGCAATACTCCGCTCTTAGTTTCAGCCTGGCACTCTCTTCTAATGTGCATTGTTTAATCTCAGCCTGTGTACAGTTCCTAATATCTAGCTACCTCACCCATCAAACACAGGAGTGCCTACTATTGCTGAATAATAGATTAAATTGCATATTTTTGTGACTCACCTTCCAATGAAGATTCAGATATTTTAAAAGATCTCATTGCAGAAAAATAGCTAGGTATTTTAACTCTTAACAGAAAGGCACATTTTGATAGAATTGTTTTTTGGCTGATGTATTTTTTATTTGTGTAACCAATATTTTTTTCTATTGAGTGACTGTTGACAAAATTGTACTTCAAATTGAAGTGGATGGATCACTCGCTGTCTTTGTTTACCTGTGTATATTTGGCTATGTTTCATATTCCTGAGGAAATGAGTATATACTAGATTTTCCAGTATGCTACTCTGTCAAAGGTTCATCAACACAACTACAGTAAGGCGTAGTAATTAACAGCTGCAAAGGCTATATGCAATACCTAAAAACTGTTATCAATGGTTTTCTCCTGAGGAGCTTCCAACGTGTCAGAGTATTTGTTTAAAAAAAAGCAGTAATTTAAGATTGTTTTATATTCATACAGTAGTGATATTTATGAATAAAGATGGCAAATATGTTTCATTTGTGGGTTTTAATTCATTTAACAGTTTTAACATTGATGTGATTTATAGTTATGACCATATATCTAAGGTTTGTGCAGTTTAGGGCTTCACTAATACGTCTTAATAGCCAGGTTCTTTACATTTGTAATGCACAAGATTAACCAAAGAATGCCTTAGTATTTGTTTTGCAAAAGAGCTACCAGTAGACAAAATCTACAGTAAAATGTGATAAAAATGATTATCTTAATGATTTCACAGAGCTGTACATTTATTTATAAGAGTTTGTTTTTTAAGGGTTAAATAATATTCACACGTGAATGGGATAACAAAGTACATGTAATATATAAACACGTTTGCAAGAAACCAAGGCTTATAATTTATTTATTTACATACATACAAAATCCAAATAACTCAAACATGTCTGTTTTGCTTTCTTTTTACAGTTTGATTCTTAACACAGACAGAAGGCAGTACATTTCTTATACAAATGCAAAAGAAACAAATACCATGAAGTTGACAGAAGCCCCTTAATCAGCTCTGTGTTCCTCAATAAAGAGTCGAGAAAGAGATGACAAGACATTAAGGCAAGGGCAGGGACACACAGGCCAAAATAAGGGTGGTTTAACGGACGAAAAGTACCAAAACAAGGATCAAACTAACATCCTCCAAAAGCAACAGCTGTTTTTTTAGTAAAAACCCAGTTAGTCCAACCAAATGCATCTTTAAATCCAACATACACAGGAAGTTTGGTAGTAAGCTTCCAGATGCTGTTCTGTTTTGCAATATTATGTTTATGCTAAAACAGCAGGAGGGCCATGATGGTTGGAGACCATCAGGCGCAGTCTGCCTATGACATCAACCAACAAAAACTGCTGACATAACAGGTAAGAAGAAAAGACAACACTGGAATCTCAGGGTAGTACATTTACATCACCGTATGGTGAAAATATATAAAAATGACAGTTAGAAATAAATGCAAGAAAAGTACTCTCCCATCACACAGTCACGGTTTGAAAACATTTTTAGTTCACACATTTGACACAAGATTTTTTGACACTTCATTCCTCAGTCTCTGCTGAGGACACTAACTCAACGTCATTTTGTTCAGAGCAGCTCGCTCTCAAGATTCTGTGCAAACATTCAATGCATATCCATACAGTAAATATTTTTATATAGATGTATTATATTTATATATATATATATATCTCTATAGAACATGACTTTCCGCAAGTTATGGCAGTACTGTCACACACGCACACATTTTATCCAGAAGACAAAATTAGACACAAAAAGACAACTGCACTGCTTTTCACTTTTTTTTTTTAAGAATGCACAACACCTTCCACTTAATTACCTTTATTCAGTCACTGTACGTGTTAAATATCACGTTATTTACAAACCGATCTAAAAAGTCAAAATATGCTGAAAAGTGACTTTTATTTCCTGTAAATGTAGATGCACTTAGTAATTAAAAACTCCGGCCCTGAAGATTTCAAAAAATACAATAAAAGGAGGCATCACTTGCATTTGAAAGTGATCTGAAAAATACAAGTAAAAAGGGCATTGCTTGTATTCTTCAGTGTTCAGTCTACAAACTAAAGAACAGGTGGGCTTTAAGTAACATCTATAGAACCTTTGGATGAGATTGAATGATCAGTGGATCAGATCACAAGTTCTTACATCATGCCTTAGCACCAATATTACAGAGGACTATTATCCCTGCATTAGGTCCAGTAATGATCTCTGTGCATGCTCCAAGGCCACTAGAACGTTCTCAAAAGAAACATTGCATACCTCATAAACAAGTGGACGTTGTGTGCAAAACCATCTAAAAATTAACAAGTCTCAGAGAGTAAAAGCTTTTTTTTGTTTCCCCCTTCTCTCTTTCCCTCTCTCTCATTAGTATTTGAGAACATAGTGTAACTAAAAGCTGTCCTTTGATCTGTGTCAAAGGTCCGGCTTAATCCCCCTCTCATGCCAGTGACCCAGCCACAGCCTACACAGTAAAACGTACCTACCTCTTAATCCCGGCTACAAGAACTCCCCCGCAGCTCCAAGCTGGGAGAGGAAACATTTGGAGAACATGCTGCATTTATATTTGGTTAAAAAGTGGCGTTTCCTAAGTGTTGAGATGTTCAGCCACCAGTAGCTGTATCTTTAACTAGTGGCTCCAACCGACTAGTTACGGAACACTGACTGCAATACAAACTAAGCATCTACATGGCTCCATGATCCACCCCCTGAACTGAGCTCCTCGCTGCTCCCCTCTCGATGTAGCAGCTCCCTGTTTCTGAGACAAAAAGTGCTTTCCTGTCCCATGTAAGGAATACTCTTACCTAGAAATATGCAAGAGGAATTTAAAGGGTGAAAGGCTGAGATAGCAGTGGGTGAGGTAACTGTGCTTTACCTAGCAGTTCCTGCTGTGAATGACGACGTCTAGGGAGAGGAAGGTTGGCAGTATGCTTCGAGACTTTGTGCGGAGGTTTGCTTCTTTCATCGGATATCCTTCTCTCCCAACGCACCTGTCCCAGACTAACAGTTGTGCAATACTTTTCTTATTACACTACAAGTGAAAATCTAATTTGGTGAGTTCACCAATGCATAGTGAGCTTTTAACCTTTTTTTTTTACAAACCTAGAATATGCTGTGATGCCTGATATAGAATTAGGTCTGTAGTGTCTTTCCCACCTCCTGACTTAGCAGTCATCATCAAAAAGCCCTCCGTTTGCAGTGTGTAATCTGATATTTGCTCAAAGTGCCATATTTGACAACATTTTGTGAACATCACTCATTTGATTGTACAGGCCTGACATTAGAGAGACACATGAGACAGGAAAGCACTTTGTAGTTGTGAACGTTTGTTCCAGGGTGGACGAGGGGAGCGAGGAAGGAAAGCTCAGATAATGCCCCAGCTTTTTTCTCATCCTTCCAGGAGCCTGGTTGAGGGGAGGTAGGGGCACCTGGGCTCAGCTACAGATTACGTGGAGAGCAGGGGTCAGCCGGCTGGTGCCTGAGGTCAGAGTGGTCAGCATGACTCCTCCAGGGCATTGACCACCTGCTCCAGGATGTCGGGGCAGTAGTCTGCGATCTGTTGCAGGACAGAGTTGGCGTACTCCTGAAGATCTCCGCTCTCCTTCTCACACACCTCCAGCTCACGCTCCAACTAGAGGGAAAAAGCATGGGTTAGTTTCTTGAAACCTGACTTTCAATCAACAAACAGATGAAACAAAAAAAAAGAGGTTAACGAACATGACATGGAATGAATCTAGCGATGGGGAGGAAATCCTTTTTTCAATCTAATAAAGGCTTTATCTCTAATACAATTATTTACAAAAATAACTGCATCATCATGCCAAATAAAAACAGTAATGGAGAATACTAAGACTCCCACATATCTATAGATATAACTATAACCAAGTTATAACGTCAGGAATAAGTAATACAAGTTAAACAAATTCAAATCAATCCGTTTTAAATGTGTCCTAAATATGCCCCTTTTCAATCAAGCTTACAAAACATGTCAGTTATTCTGTGCCTTTAAAAAGATACATTATCTCTACGGTCATTTCATTGATTTTGATTACAGCAGTAGAGTTGTATATTTTGTTTATTTGTTCACTCTAAAATGTGTTCGTTGGCCTATACATTTCAATCATGATCAATTCAGAAGTTAAACAAATGCTGATGTTTTTCACTGAATTAAAATCTTGATATATGTATATTTAAGAAAATGACAATCTAAACATGAACAGAGGAGAGCAAAAGAGTTCCTCGACTACCTTCAAGGTTCAAGGTTCTTTATTGTCAAACTAACATAACTACAGAGTAATTATGTCGTTGAAAATCTTAGGTCACAGGCTTCTCCAACAATGCAACACAATAATACAGATAAGCAGACAATATTAAAGTATATTATATTAAAAGTAATACAAAAAGAACCTGTTCCAATACCTGTTCCACACTCATCTTCTGGAGCTCCTCCTCCCAATCTTCGGGGTCGCTATGGTGATAGTGAGAGGGCGGCGTGAGCTGGCTGAGGATGCTGGGGTCCCGGTCATGGCACAGGTCCGTCAGGTGGGCGATGTAGAGCTTCAGCTTACTGCGGTTCTGGGACAGGGCTAGGAGAGGGGGTATCATCTGCAGGGAGGGACCAAAGGGAAGAGTGTGAGGCAGTGTGGAAATACAAATAAAAAGATAAATACATTTAGGCTACACATTTACAAAGGAGTTACGCTTTGATTTTTATGATTGAACAGGATGAAAGACCAAGGCACAAGACCACAAAACAAATAAATGAGTACAAAAAATCATTGCATGCATGCTTATGAACCAAAAACTATTTCACATTAGAGCCAACGTTATTGGGTGCATCATAAAAGTATTCTGGATCATTATATGTGTAGGTTTAGCGCAAATCATTGATTACATGAAGGGTTAAAAACATTTTCCAATGAAACACCTGTTTGTGTGGGTCAAAATGTGAAGAGCAATGGCATGCAAAGCTAAGATGCTTTAGTTTGAGACTGAGCCAGGATCAAAATCATCTCATCCTCTTCACACACACACACACACACACACACACACACACACACACACACACACACACACACACACACACACACACACACACGGTTAAAGGCACGGGATGCGCGATACAAAAAAAATCATTATGAGAGGAATGGCAAACAGCAAAAGAAAACATAATGAGTACAAGACAAGTGATGAAGTGAACATGCCACGGATCAACGATGAAGAGAGGTGTGACACGTCTGGCTTTACGTACAAGCTCACCCTTCTGAATAAAATGTCTGAGAGAGAGAGAGGGGGAGGGTAAAAGGTTGGCTACGCCCAAATACCCTCCTCATCATCCTGTTAGCCACAAGGTAGGCCAATCGCAGCATTACAAAGGAACATTTGGTTAGTGCGTATATCGACAGAGTAGTTAAGACAGAAGAAAACATACATTTTAAGTTCATAGTTCCGTTCGGATAGAAGGCGTCACTTCAACCTTCTTAACAAGAGACAACACATTTTCAACAAATGATTCAGAGAAACTCGGGGAAAGCTGGTCAGGATACAGACGGTGGTTAAGGTTACCTGATCTGGAGAGGGTTTGTGATTCGTCTGGTCAGGAGCAGTCTTCAGATGGTCATCCTCGTAGTTATCTGCCATCAGTTTCATTCTGTTCTGAGTCTGTAGATTAAATAGAAAGAAAATTGAGTGATATGATGAAGAGCAGAAGAACCATGGCATATAAGGAAAAGCCGGAATGGAACATGTACTTGTATATAAGCAGTCCTGGCATTAACCTATATTAATATTTTAATTCAAAAACATTATTAGGAAAGGTCTATGGGCATGGCTACATACTGGAATCGAGTCCAGCGATACCCACAATCGTGGGTAGATGCAAATAATGATGACTTCAAACAAAGATTTAGAAGACAAATGTTGACATTCTCATTTGTGATGCGCAAGCTACAAATAACCAAAAAGGACAAGTTTGATGCTGAGCCACTGTTTTAGTTTACTTTTCCATTGGCCTGCTGTTAAGAGTGAGAGAAAGAGACTGTGTGTTGGTCTACATCAGGGGTGCCCAACCAGTCGATCGCGAGATGTGTCTAAAAATAGAACAACAATATTCTGTTGTATCGTTAATGTCCTATAACATAATCTTCCTGTGCCAGAATAATGCACTTGAACGCATCAAAGCTTTGTGATTGGCCGGCGTGACCCCATGTGTCGGGACGTGGCTAGTGGGCAGTAGTTCGCTGACGTTGTCCGTGGCAACAGGAGTGACAGTCCGCACACACACACAAGACCGCAATTATGGCAGAAGAAAAAAAGCCCAAAATATATAATTTTCACTCCGAGTGGGAGGATGACTATTTTTGTATCCATTCCAATTCAAAGTCCATCCGTCTCATCTGCAATGCGAGCGTGGCTTTATCGAAGAAGAGTAATTTAGGAGCGGCATTTCAAAACAGTGCACAAACGCTACGAGACGGAATTCCCTCCTAATTCTGCCCTACGCTCCCAAAAGGGGAGGGGCCTGAGAGGACAGCTAAATGCGCAGCAGTCCATTTTCACCCGGCCCAACAACAAGAGCAAGGCTGCTACCATAGAATCTTATCGTGTCAGTCACGTTCTTGTGAAACACATGAAGTCTTTCAAAGACGGCGAAGTTGTGAAAGAAGCATTCCTGGAGGCTGCCGACGCGCTTTTTGGGGACAGTAAAAATAACATCAGCATTTCAACAGGTTTTTGATATAATAAAAACTCAAGTTAGATACTGTTATTAATCAGCTGTAAGTTTTAGTTTGTTTGAACTTACTCATTATAATTATTGTACACAATGGTATAAGACTGCAAACTTAAATTGATTATAGTTTATTATCAATTCAGGTTAAGAAACTAGTGTTGCTCGCATCCTATTTTTAAGGCATTTCTTTTTATACTCTAATAAAATGCAACAAAAAAAGAGTTTGATTCTATTAATCGTCTTTTTTATTGCACTTTGGCAGCAGATTCCTGTGTAGCTTCAGATCTGAGTTGTCTTATTAGAAAGCCTAATTTATACTTTTGTAGCAACACTATTTTTATATGATGGCAAAGAAAGGGTTCAGTGTATTTTCTTTTTTCCCTGTGTCATATGTGGCAGCACTGTTCAATGTTT